CCAAGATTAAAATACAGAATTAACCCTCTTTTTAATGTCTAGGGGCCTTTACTCAAAAGAGATCTCCACTCAATTCAATAGGGCTTACAACCTCTTGGTGTAAGAACACAGCCTTAATCTGTCCAGGTTCATTCTTCAACTGGATATACAGTGGTACCTCGGCTCACGAATGCCTTGGTTCATGAGCAAATCAGGTTGCGAACAAAAAGTTCATGAAAATTTTGATGTGGGTCATGAACTCCACTTTGGGTGGCAACCAAGATTGTAGCCATCTCCCCCCGCCCCGCCACCAAGTGGGGAGATAGCCATGATCACATTTGCATTTGTGCAGGGAAGATGTGTGGGATCATGGGCGCGCTCCTGCAGGAAAGACGGGTGTAATCTCGGCCATCTCCACCCCCCGCCCCCAGCACGATCGTGGTCATCTCCCCACTCTGGGGGGGTGGGGAGATGGCCATGGTCACACCCGTCTCTCCCTCCTCCAGCGCACCCCGTTTGCGCCCATCTCTCTCTCCCCCAGTGCGCCCACGATCCTGCCCATCTCTCCCTGCCCCAGCGTGCCAGGATGATGGGCGCATGCAGGGATGACAGGCGCGATCTCGGTCGTGTTGGCGGGGCAGGAAGATGGCCACACTTGTGCTCGGGGTGGGTGGGGGGAGATGGCTGCAATCTTTGTTGTTGTCACTTTGCTTCACATTTTTCTGATTAAAAAAATGGATACAGAATAGATTAACCTTATTAACATTGAACCTTATGGGGAAATTTAACTTGGTTAAATTGACCAATTTGGGTCACGACCAGAGTCTGGAATGGATTAAGTTTGTGAGCCAAGATACCACTGTAAATGCCGTGGAAACAGAAATACATTATAACCACTAACATGCATAAAGTTACAGTGAACAGCTGGAGCAGAAAGAGCCCAGCTTTAAAATTTAAAAAATAGTGTGGTTAGAGAGCAAGAGTGAAAGAGACGGGGAGAAGATGTAACTAACAACCACCTAGTGGATCCTTGAATAGCTGAGTAGTGAGTGAGGGGGATGAAAGAGATACAGTAAAACCTTGGATTGCGAGGAACTGTTCTGTGAGTGTTCCGCAAGATGACCAAACATTTCTAATAAATTTTAACTTGATAAACAAGTGATGTCTTGCAATACGAGTAGTACATGATGCCAAATGTCACATGATCACAAGTGAGCCAATGGTGTTCTCTCTCTCTCTCACACACGCACACACACACACACACAAACACAAAATGCCAAATGATCGCAACTGAGCCAATGGTGGTTCTCTCTCTCTCTCTCTCGCTGCAGTCCTACAACTCCCAACAACCCTCCAGGAAGGAAGGTTATGCTGGGAATTACATAACTGTTTTTCTGTCTAAACATGCATAGGATTGCACTGGAAGCAGTTTAAGCTGACTGCATTTTCTTGTTAGTTACCACAAGGCTTATTCTGAACACAAAGAGGTTATTTTTATTACAGTCTTGGGTTGTTTAGTGCTGTACGCTGACATTGACTAACTTAAATCAGGTTCTACTGAATTGTTCCAATGATTTGGTGTATATTTGGTGTTTTGTTGTGAAGATCTGTTTAAAAATCATGTCAAGTCTTAACTGTGGACTTCAAGGCTTGTGTGGGAGGAGTACATGGTGTGTCATACTACAAGATTAGAATCTTGCATCTGTTTTACCTTTCAGTATCTCCCCTGTCCCCAAGAGGAAGATACTGAAAGGTAAAGCAGATGCAAGAGTTTATGGAGGAGATCTCATCTAACGAGAAGGAGGAGAAAAAGGCTGAGGAATCCCTGACTGCAAATGAGATTAGGGAGATGTGTAAAATGTGGGAAGCAGTGCAAAATTTTGTAGAAAAGCACTACCCAAATAAGGCTGTAGCACAGCAAGCAATGAATCTGTTTAACAACAATGCTATGTCACATTTCCACGAAATCCTCAAAAGGAGGCAAAAGCAAGTGTCACTGGATAGGTTCCCTGTTAAACTTGCACAAAAAAGAAAAAGATTCCATTGAGCCAATAGACAGCAGTGATTCCATTAGTGATAGTGAAAGTCGTCCTACACAATAACCCTCCTCTTTTGTCTCCCTCACACCAGCCACAAAGGTTTTCAAAGATAGGTGCAGGTTAATTTGCTTTGTTTTCCTTTATATTTTGTATTTTGTTTATTATTTTTATTATAGTATTGTAATCATTTTATATGAATATTTTTGGGTTGTGGAACGAATAATCTGCGTTTCCATTATTTCTTAAGGAGAAATTTGCTTTGATATACAAGTGCCTTGAATTACAAGCATGTTTCCAGAACGAATTATGCTTGCAAACCAAGGTTTTGTTGTTGTTTGTCGCGAAGTAGTGTCAACCCATCGCGACCCCATGGACAACATTCCCCCAGGCCTTCCTGTCCTCCACCATCCCCTGGAGTTCACTTAAGCTCATGCTGACTGCTTCAGTGACTCCATCTAGCTACCTCATTCTCTGCTGTCCCCTCCTTCTTTTGCCATCTATTGTTCCCAGCATTAGGCTCTTCTCCAGGGAGTCCTTCCTTCTCATTAGGTGGCCAAAGCATTTGAGTTTCATCTTCAGTATCTGGCCTTCTAAACAGCAGTCAGGGTAGATCTCGTCTAAGACTGACTGGTTTGATCGCCTTGCAGTCCAAGGGACTCACAGGAGTCTTCTTCAGCACCACAATTCAAGGGTCTCAATTCTTCAGCGCTCAGTCTTCCTTATGCTCCAGCTTTCACAGCCATATACGCACTTTTGTTGGCAGGGTGATGTCTCTGCTTTTTAGTATGCTGTCTAAATTTGTCATAGCTTTCCTCCCAAAGAGCAAGCATCTTTTAATTTCTTGGTTGCAGTCACCGTCTGCGGTGATCTTGGAGCCCAGGAAAATAAAATCTGTCACTACCTCCATTTCCTCCCCATCTATTTGCCAGGAAGTGAGAGGACCGGATGCCATGATCTTAGTTTTCTTAATGTTGAGTTTCAAGCCAACTTTTGCGCTCTCCTCTTTCACTCAAATCAAGAGGCTCTTTAGTTCCTCTTCACTTTCTGCCATGAGAGTGGTATCATTTGCATATCTGAGGTTGTTATTTCTCCCAGCAATCTTAATTCCAACTGGTGATTCATCTAGGCCCACCTTTCTCATGATGTGCTCTGCATATAAGTTAAATAGGCAGGGCGACAGTATACAGCCTTGCTGAATTCCTTTCTCAATTTTGAACCAGTCAGTGGTTCCATGTCCAGTTCTCACTGTTGCTTCTTGGCCTGCATATAGGTTTCTCAAGAGACAAATAAGATGGTCAGGTACTCCCATCTCTTTAAGAACTTGCCACAATTTGTTGTGATCCACACAATCAAAGGCTTTAGCATAGTCGATGAAGCAGAAGTAGATGTTTTTCTGGCACTCCCTAGCTTTCTCCATGATCCAGCATATGTTGGCAATTTGATCTCTAGTTCCTCTCCCTCTTCGAAATCCTGCCTGTACTTCTGGTAGTTCTTGGTCCACGTATTGCTGGAGCCTAGCTTGTAGGATTTTGAGCATAACTTTCCCAGCATGGGAAATGAGTGCAATGGTATGGTAGTTTGAACATTCTTGGCATTGCCCTTCTTTGGGATCGGAATGTAAACTGACCTTTTCCAATCCTGTGGTCACTGTTGAATTTTCCAAATTTGCTGGCATATTGAGTGTAGCACTTTTACTGCATCATCTTTTAGGATTTTGAATAGCTCAGCTGGAATGCTGTCACCTCCACTAGCTTTGTTGTTGCTCAGACTTCCTAAGGCCCATTTGACTTCATATTCCAGGATGTCTGGCTCGAGGTCAGTGACCACCCCATCGTGGTTATCAGGGATGTTAAGCTCTTGTATAGTTCTTCTGTGTAATCCTGCCACCTCTTCTTAATCTCTTCTGCCTCTGTTAGGTCCCTGCCGTTTTGGTCCTTTATCGTGCCCTTCTTTGCATGAAATGTTCCCTTCATATCTCCAATTTTCTTGAAGAGATCTCTGGTCCTCCCTATTCTATTGTTTTCTTCTATTTCTTTGCACTGTTCATTTAAGAAGGCATTCTTATCTCTTCTAGCTATTCCCTGGAAAACCAAGGTTTTACAGTACTACTATCCTGTACATGCTTAATTTGGAAACCATTCAAGCAGAAAAAGCATGCTGAGAGCATTGCAACAAAAATAGTAAGCAAACCAACTAAATTCTGTGACTTTGAAAAGACTTAACAAATTTCTTCTGGCCAGATTTTACCCTATTATGTTCCTAAGATCAAATCAAGCCAGAACCCCCCAGAAAGCAAAAACGACAAAACTGAACGACAAAACTATACTTCTAGCACATAATGAGAAGGTATGCCTCCTGAAGAAAGCGATAATGCTAGGGAAAGTTGAGGGCAGAAGACGAGGAGAAAGACCAGCTATGAGATGGGTCGATTCCATAGAGGAAGCCGCAGTCTGGAGTTTGCAAGAGCTGAGCAGAACTGCCAAAAACAGGTCGTTTTGGCGGACGCTCATTCATTCGGGCGCCATAAGTATGAGAAGCGCGGAGCAGCAACTTTCATGCGCTCGGCACCATTGCGTCAGAGCGCTGAAACGCGCCCTCTACTGGCGTTAGCAACATATTTCGCACTGTCATAAACTGAACGCCTTCCGGCTTGCACCGTAAACTGCACGCAACGTGAACGGACCGCAGCTGGGCGCCAACCAACCGTTCATTCTGGGTGGGGACTCGGCAGCAGGATTTTGGGTGGGTGGTAGATTCCTGAGGTGGGGAGGGGCGAAGAAGGGAGAAAGGGGAGGAGATTCCGCCGCGCCATGCTCGCCCGACTCCGAAGGGAGAGAAAGAAACCTGCTCCGTCGCCGCTCGGCTCCCTTCGGGCTCCCTCACGGCACAGCCCCTCCGAGCCCCGCGTCTGTGAAGAGGGGAGGGCGACGGACGAAAGCAGCCGCCCGCAGCGAGGCGAGAAAAGGAGGTGTCGCTACTTACAGAGCCCGCTGGAGCCGGTGCTGGTGAACATGGTCCCGGGCCGGCCAGTAGCAGAGCGGCGACCGGGGAGAAGCGACCCCTTGACCACAGGCCTCGCGTGGCGGTTCCCTCTGCTCTCCCACGCGGCGCCTCCGACGGCGCAGCTTGGGTGAGCGCGCTCGCAAGGCCGGGGAGCTGGGCCGGCGAGCAGAACGCTAAGGCGGCCGGGATGGGTCAGCGCGGGCTGGGACCGGCAGCGCAGGGACGCCCTGGAGAGCGCCCCCTGCTGAGCTCGCCGCCGCTTTCTCCCGGGGACAGCGGCCTGGGACGAGGCGCCCTCGGGGCGCGCAGACGCCCCTCTGGCGGCCTTTTCCTCGCAGGGGCTCCTTTCCCTAACTCGCCTTGCGTGCATCGAACGCACTGCTGTTCGTCGGTCGATCTCAGCCATGTTTACGCGAAATGTAATCCCTGTGGGAGGCTTCCTGGTGTGTAAGCGTGCTCAAGAATGCCGCCCCTGGGTATCAACGCTACAAAGCTTCCCTCTCAAGCGCAGTTCGCGTACCTACGCGCGGGGGACTGAGGGAGAGTACGCTTAACACAAAGGGCCTCTCAGTACTTGTTCTGTCTTTGATTTACACCGCCATCTCGATCATGTTTATTTAAAAATTAAGGCTGTGGTTATATGCATACCCACATGCTATTCCAAAATATTGTAATAGGCCAACCCAGAGACAACAGAAATGTGCAAATCTCTGAAAAAGGGAGGTGGGATAGAGTGAGGCCGACTGGATGTTGTGGTCATGATAGTCAAAACTCTGAAATGATATGGAGGAGGAAGGTTTACAGCTGTTGGAACTGTGTGCTGGATGATGTGATGAATTAACTGCTGATGTACTACAGGAAAGGAGGAAGCTAAAGGCAATGACCAATGCTCCATCTTCAGAACTATCAAATCTAGCTGCTACCTAAAGTGTAACTTCATTAATCATTCAGAAAGCATCAGCTATTGGACAATATAGAAATGTCAATAAATGAATATTAAGGAGAATAGTAGCCTTACATCAGAACAAGTACTACTGAAGAATGCAATATATATCTTTGCAGCCTACTCCTGCTATCCAGAATATTTTTCAGAGATGACAATGATTCAGTTAGCGAAAACAAGTTTTATTTATCAAGCAGGGCTTACAAGATACAAGCAACCCTCTGTATGTGTTACTGTCACATGACAGGTTTCTGGAATCGCAAAAACACAACCTCTGACTTGGAGAATTTTTCCCAGCTTCAGGGATGATCCTTCACAAATGCTTCCATCTAGAGGTTGCCCCTGAAAATACATAAGACATACTTTGCAACTCTACATTGCCATATGTAGGACTGTGATACTAAAGGGATGCAAGCTGCAGTACTAAACCGCCTTCCCTAAAAACAAACATAAAATGATGTCTGCTAATAAGCACATTGTCAAAACAATTCCCCTTTCCAGTGATAAAGTCAGCTGGTTGATTCATAACACAACCGCAGATGTTCATGAATAGCTTTTCAGAGGCATTCAAGAAACAAAAGCTGGTACTTCTCAGTACAATGAACCAAGCCCACGAGGTTTTTCTTGCTGCTTCTAACATTTGAACAATTACTAAAGGAAGGAACCTCTTTTGCCCTTCATTTGTGTCACACAAAGAATCAGGTGTCAAAACTCAGGACCTTGTCTCTTCCCCTAAAGAGATGGCCACAATAGAGATAGCATATTTCTAAAAGGGACTAGGTAATACTGCAATCAGATCCTTTTTGGCCTGTAACATTGAGAGCATAGTAATTTTGTTTTGTAGTCTTGCAATTGTAGTTGTTACTGTCTTTGAAGCATTTGATCTGGAACAGAACTGGTGATCAGAGAAGTGTTTTTTGGTTCTATAGTTGAACTACAGACTCAGAATGTTTGACAACTGCCTGATAACGCTTCTAGAATAATTTGCCTTTTACTTTACTACTTATCTGGGTACTTTCAGAAGGAGAGCTTGTATCACTACCAGTCAAAAGACAATGTGCAGTGTCAGAATCCCGGAATCTCAATTTGAGAAGAGGGAATAAAACTTGGGTTCGTGGGAAAGACCAAGCGTCCAGACCATCTGAGGCTGTATTGTTTTACCCCAAGTTTCCCACGGTACACTCACGATAATGCATGCTGCATTACCGGGCAGGCAGAGATGAACTCTGCTGCAAAGCTTCAATACCATTGCAGGGTATTTTATAGGTACACAGGTACAGGGCAATTGATGACAGAATGCAGAGATTACAATAAGATTCTGAGGTCACCACATACAGAACAGATAAAGAAATGTCAGTCAATCACACTGTAACAATGAGATTAGTATTGACACTTTAGTTGAGTAACTTGAACCCATCTCCAGGTCTGCTCAGACATGCAAATTCAAGCCACTAGAAACTATTCATGATAAGCTCAGACCCCAATCTGACCCCAATCTCGACTCTAAACATTCTGCATGATCAGGGCACATGAAGCCCTCTGGGCTATCAAAACTGATTATTGTAAACTGAATTCCAACAATGACTATTTATAATGTATATTTGGGCTAAAATGGCCTACTGCAGCCTACAGCTGAAGGTGAGAGAAAGGAGCGAGGAAATGCCATTTTAAACAGTGACTGCTTGGTTTTGAGAAGGAAGACAGGATTTGATCCCACAATGCAAAGGCACAGGAGTAATGCTTTTCAGACAGGATTTACCCAAATTTTCCCAACAGCAGCAATTTTGTTTTCTTTCTTGATGAAGTTGTAATTTTCTGGTAATGAAGAAAAGGGTTTCAATTCAGCAAAACTACATGCAATTCCATGTATTCTTTTTCTGACTTTTTTTAAAACCAAAGGCAGCCTCAGGTGGATGCATGTTTGAACAAAGGAAAGGCAGGTGGAAAGTCACCATAGCATTTTCTTTTTGGTTGTATTTCTACTCAAAATTCACTCCTCCCCACAAGCTGCTTTTCCTTCCATGAAGGAGCATATACTGAAAGCCATTTTGCCCCCATGGAAACAGAACAGCTGGGGGAGAGGTTTAATGGCAAAATATTCAGAAGGGACAGGTTTAAGAGAGGAGCTCTGTTGTTATTCAAACTTGCAGCTTCTGAACCCCATCTTCAGTTTTATAAAATAAAATATAGAGCTGAAAGATACACCTGTCTGGCAAACCAGCTGCCCACAGGATCCCTCAAGCAGGATGGGTGAAAAACCTCCTACTCAAGCTCCTCAGCAACTGGTATATGCAGGCAGGCCACCTCTGGTCAAGAAGGTTTGAGTTCATTCCTATATACATTGCAAATAAGGTCCATATGTAGCAGTACACTTGTTTTTTCAATAGTAAATTGATTACATGGTAACTCATGCAGAACTCCTGCAATAGTCAAAAGCCATACGGAATATGACAGAGATTTAAGCACAATATAAGAACGACCCAATTAAATAAACCATTAGCAAACCTGTTTATACACAATGCAGCACAAGATTTCTACTTTTAAAACATAAGAGTAGGACGGTAGGGTGTTCTTGTGCAATCAATAGCTACCACTCCTGATGGCTGCAGATTATTTTCAGATCAGAGAAAGAATGTCTGTGTATACCAGTTGCTGAAGAACATGGTGAAGGTACTGTTCTGCTCATGTCCTGATTCTGGGCTTCTATGGGCAGCAGGTTGGCTACTGTGTGACCCTTGTTCTGATCCAGCAGAGGTCTTACGTTCTCAAGTGCCAAACTGCCCGTAGCAGCTTGTAAAGTATTACAACTTAAGTAAAGAAATGTATGGAGTTTCGTGTCTGATGTCTGCTCTAGACTACATGCTTTGCACAGTGATACAATAAATCCCACTAAATTCATTGGCCCTTACTCCTAAGTAAATGTGTTTTGGATTATTTAGAACTGAGGCTGAGAATTATCTGTCGCTCTACCATTTTTTCTTTTAATACTATAGGTGAGGATAGAGTAGTTTTTCCTCTTTCTGTTTCAAGGCTTACGGGTAGCATTCATATTTGATCCTCTAACTAAGAAAAAGAACTGAATTAGCAAAAGGTACATGCAGATTTTTTTTAAAAAAAATAGCATACTTTTGTCATTTGGGTGTATTAATTGCTTTCTAGTGCTGAGATTTGGTAAAATTGACTTTGGGTGCTGCACAGAGAGGTTTGGACAAAATAGTCTCATGCCCCCTTATATTATTAAACTGGAGTGGTTCTTCAGTTAACAGTGCCTCCTTTGATGCTGTCTAACCATTATTTACAGAAGCAAGAGTTAAACAGAAAAAGATTTCAGAAAAATGACATAACATTTTAGCCTTCATTTTCCTTCCAAAGACATCCCAAAGTTCAGGAGAAGAAAAATGAATAAGGGTACAATCCTATATATGTTTAGACAGAAAAAGTCTAAAACTGCCAGAATTCCCCAGTATGGCCAATTGGGGAATGCTGGGAGTTGTCCCCTTAATTTTGCATAGGATTGCACCTTAAGTGACCTAATAATTGCAGATATAGTCATTCGATTCCTAGCTTCTTTTGTCCTCTTTGGGTAAGCACAAACACAATTAACTTCCATGGCCTTATAATATGTCCAATGCACAACTGTAATGAAAACAGCCAGGAGGGGGATTTTGATCCCTGAGATGGTCTAGTGCAGTGGTGGCAAACCTATGGCACACGTGCCGCAGCGGGCACATAGAGCCCTCTCTGTCAGAACGCAAGCCAAGTTGCCCCAGCATCACCCGAGCAGCTGAGCATCGGATAACGGTGCACATAGGGGCCGTGCGCATGCTCGGAAGGAGTAGTGGCGCCTAGCGATGACATCATGAGCCACGATTTATTAGCCATGACTTGTCCGAGCTTTCCCATGGCTGGTCAGTGCACTGCCAGGATATATATATATATTTGCTTGGACTGGCTGTGAGTTGTTTTTCCTAAACTAAAAGCTCAGTATTCAGGTGTTAGTGCAGTGTTGGCACTTTGCGATAAATAAGTGAGTTTTGGGATGTAGTTTGGGCACTCGGACTCTAAAAGGTTCGCCATCACTGGTTTATTGCATGGTGCCAGTTCCCACCCAGTCAAGGTGCACAGTACTCAGGCTGATTATTTTTTTCAACTCTCTGAAAGTATCATCCGCATCTTTGAAGCAATGGTGCCCT